AGATGTCTAAACGATGCGTTTTGCCAGCAAAACCTTTGCTCACATGAGCCTGTAATGCAATGATACTTAGGATCTCTGTTGTGTTTATAAACTAAATGGTGATCAAGTTTTTCTTGATTTATAAATGTCTCATCACATTTATGACACGTGCCATGTTCTAGTTTTCCGTGTTGATTTAGTTCTTTTATAGTATGAAATACTTTGCTGCAGTTTTCGTCATTGCACGCAAAAGAAGTTTGTATTAATTTTGGCCAATTATTGTCGCCACTATACTTAGTAGTCGTAAATGTTTGAAGCAAAGTGTTACCGTGAGTATTATTAGACTGGTGACAGACAATTGGGACTTTGTTTTTATAGAATGGACTATTTATTCTCTTCTTGTCCGGTAACTTCATAACATTTAGCTCATCATTGCAGTGCCTACTTTCAACTTGATGATTATGTAGTTTTGTGTAATCATAGAATTCTTCGCTGCAGTTGTTACAAATTATTGGTGGTTCAAACCCGTGATGTAGCATTTCACCAATGAATTTGTGTGCTTGGAAAGTGCTAAAATAATGTTTGTAGACCAAATGTTTGTAATATAAACCCGGTTCAATAAATTTCCCTCTACATCTCACGCATTCGATGGCTTCTAGACAACGTCGGTCGTTAGGCGTAAATATATAGGTTATCACGTTTGTCTTTTCTGATTTGTCACGTATTAGTTCTTCAACTCTAGACAATGAATCCCTACTGTAGCTACTATCGTCATATAGGCCCGACATTGTATACTGTTGAATATTAAAATCATGTTAGTTGGTGTATATGTAAATGTTAATATATAAAATAATTAAAGCATAAAATTTTAGGTATAACATCGGGTGACCGGCATTGTTTTCACCGAAAACACCTAAGTATACCTTAGTGTTAAGCATATTACAGATACTACATACACACACAATAGAATACACAATACTACACACAAATTGCACCTAACATTTATAAGTTGTGAAGCGGACGCCCAGCAGTGCCGTCACACGGGTCGCCTACTCACAACATTCTTTAAATGTCAAGTGCTTTAACAATGGACTCGGCGTATGTAGGAGTCATTAACTCTAATTGTTTTCTGGTTGAATTATTCATAACCTTAATAACCGGTATGTTTTCTGGTAGATTTTCTAACCATTGATTATAATAATGATTAAGCTCAAGGAGGTAAGGGACACGGATGTAGCCACTTTCCTCGGCCCGCGCTCGACAATATATATTGTTAGTGAGTTTATCTATAGGTGTCTCAACATAAACTACTAGATCGTATTTCAAGGCGTCCGCATATTGAGATAACTGTTCATTAACTATAGCATCGAACACCTCGCTCTCATAATTAGACATGAGATGTTGATCAACAAGTGTGGGTTTAAAGACGCGAATCGCGGAGAAATACGATCTTTCCATAACCTTAATGTCACTACCATCACGTGGCAACGCTCGGTGATGGTCAATCATTGTAAGTGCAACATAACTTTCAAATAAAAAGGCTCTCTTTTCAGGTTTCCTATAGTAGGCTTTTAATAAGTTAAGGCCGTTTAGGTCTCTCCACTTATCTATAGGTTCATTATGTATAGAAAGTCTGTTTGCTATTTGAGATTGACTTAAATAATGACTAAAGGTTGTCTTTCCTGACCCTATATTCCCTTCCAATAATATAGTTTTATACATTATGATACTTATAAAATTATAGCCCAATATCAACGACGGTATACCACTAGGCCTTATTAATTACTAAAATTAGTATAATAAAATAATTGAAGTGAACCGGTTAGATAACTTAATTGATAAGATAATAAAATTAAATCGTGGAATGGTTTGTTTCGATTGAGCAACTATACTCAAGTGTTTTTAGCTTAATATTTAACAAGTAAATCAAAAGTGAACTACTACGGCCGATTGTAATTCACAATTACATATACTTATTTATAAATTATTAAATTAAATCGTTATATAAATTTAAAGAAAATAAAAACATAAAATAAAAGGATAGGTTTTTTGTTTCGGATACACCTCGACTGCCAGGGCTACTCACCCGGCCCAGGGCACAACTGCCCGGGTTAGTCAAGGGAAGCAAATAATAAAACATAAAAGCAAAATACATTTAAGTCAAATAAGTAATAATAAATTTCAAATTATAAATTAATTAAAACCAATAATTAAAATGTGGGGCTTTTGGGAATTTATCATCCCCTACTTCTGAAAATTGAATCTATGTAACGGTCTAGTAATACTAGTAGTATTCATTGGGTGTTACAACCCGTTGCAACTACTTATTAGATAAAATTATTTATCACTACATAGTTCAGTGTATACTACTTAGATAGAAATTATTTATCAATACATAGTTCAGTGTATACTACTTAGATAGAAATTATTTATCAATACATAGTTCAGTGTATACTACTTAGATAGAAATTATTTATCAATACATAGTTCAGTGTATACTACTATTAAATAGTCAACTCACTTTTACCGACGGTAATTATTGACCGACTTTGTATTGACACGATAGCTATTGAGTAGTTTCCGCAGTTTGTTGTGGAACTGATTCGGTGACAGTTGTAGTATCTTCAACTGTTGTTATCTTAATTATGTCGACTGCAGTCCTGTTGGGATCAATTCAGTGATAGTTATCGTGTCTTCAACTGTTGGTATCTCTTCAGTTGGAATCGCTTCTTCAGTTGTAATTGATTTTCTCTTTGGTTTAATAATCTTTTTCTTACTGATTATGTCGACTGCAGTCCCGTTGGGATCAATTCAGTGATAGTTATCGTGTCTTCAACTGTTGATATCTCTTCAGTTGGAATCGCTTCTTCAGTTGTAATTGATTTTCTCTTTGGTTTAATAATCTTTTTCTTACTGATTATGTCGACTGCAGTCCCGTTGGGATCAATTCAGTGATAGTTATCGTGTCTTCAACTGTTGATATCTCTTCAGTTGGAATCGCTTCTTCAGTTGTAATTGATTTTCTCTTTGGTTTAATAATCTTTTTCTTACTGATTATGTCGACTGCAGTCCCGTTGGGATCAATTCAGTGATAGTTATCGTGTCTTCAACTGTTGATATCTCTTCAGTTGGAATCGCTTCTTCAGTTGTAATTGATTTTTATTTAATTTCAAACAAAATTAATAGTAATAATAATGACACATATATTCTACATACAATTTATTTATTAACTTTTATTTCATACTAGATTTTTACATATCATTTCATGTTTACAACAACACTGCTAATCCTCTACTCGATCGGGAACTCCTGATCCCAACAGTTTTGTTGGACGATCAGTACGGGTGGAGTTTCACTCACAGTACACATAACAATACCATTCAAGGAATGGTATGCTGTATGTGTGTGTGTGTGTTATACATGTATACTAAAATTGTTTTCGTTAAAATAGTTTGTTAAAAATAGAAACTATTTTTAATGACTATTTTAGTATATATAATAATCATATTATAAATTTTTTTAATATTATAATTAATTAATATTATAATTAATAATTAAGATTTTAGTAATTTAGCTAATAACTAATTAACTAACTAGGTAAATTATTAAAAAATAATTTATATATATATATACAGTGTGTATATATATATAATAATACCTTGATGTTTTTATTATTTAGTTTCAATTTGTTTAAAATATTCAAATTATTTTCATAGCCAATCAAAATCGTAGGTTTTAGTGTTTTAATTGTATAGTCTATATCATCTAAAAATTTATTTACAATTTATTTTTAGTATCATAACTCTAAACTAGAAATGTTTTCTTATTTWAAAAAAAATAAAATTTAAATAAAAATAATAATTACTTACATTCAGTGGCCGACCAGTCCATCGACGTATAGACACCTCCGGCGGCCAATACGCCCAACAATGCTATACCGTATATATCGTTGTTATGTGTTATAAAACATACCGTTTCTCCCGTTTCCAGTCGACAACAATCATCTGTACGCAAGTATTGGCCAAATCTAAGGGCCGACTCCAGTACCTGACCTCTGGTCCATTGGCGACCACTATTGCTGTCAGTCTATCACAAACAAACAATAACAACAAAAAATGATAATAATTATTATAATAAAAAAATTATAGAAATAACATTTTTTAAAAATAAAAATTCTATAAAATTTGTATAAAAACCATAAAAAGATTTCCTGAATTTAATTTAAGTTTTTGAATCAATAATTCAATAATTGAATTATATTTGTTTGCATAATAATCATAATCCATATCATTATGGTATTGCGATCTAATTATATGATTATTAGATGAATCCATATTTTCCCAATAATTATATATATATATTCAAAAAATAAAAAATTGTTTAATAAAACTATAATATATATATAATATATTATTTATAAAATAATTTATTTGTGAGTTGTAGTCATTTTAAAACTATTAACATTCAATGCATATATATATATATATATAATTTTAAAGTTTAATTTAAATCATATGTTTGTCATACATACGTAAAACAACTTAATCTATTTATTATTATTTTAAAAAAATAAAAGTCATTTTCTAAAATTGTTTTTTATTAATTGTTTCAATTACGTTAATGTATTACTTAATAAAAAAATTTATATTTATAATAAAAATTAATTATAAAATTAAAAAATTTATATATATATATTTAAATTGATAATAATTTATTTTAATACAATTTTGATAATTTTAATAATAAAATAATTTTGTTTTATAAAAATTTTAAAAATTTTAATATTTTTTATAAATAAAACGATATCCTTTAAAAAAAAACTGTTTTAAAATTTTAATTATAATTAATTTAGTAATATATTAATTATTATTACTAATAACTTTTAAGAAAAATTAATAATAATTTAGATATTATTTTATTTTAATTTAATTTTCAATGAAAAAAACAAATTAGTTTATAATCATAAACATAATGTAACCACAAAAAAAATTATATTAATTTTTTTAAATTAAATAATTTAATTATTCTTTAACAGCAGTTATACGTAGTACACGTAAGTAAATGTTGACTTCCGTAACGGTCGGATCGGCCAAAAACTGTTGCCACGCTCTGGGATTGGGCTCAGGGCTGTCGGGATTGACGTAGGCGTCAAACACTGTATCCGTTAAGTGATCGTTGAGTTCACTATCAAAGTCCGATTGATTTTTGAAAAATGACCGATAGTTTGACAGCATTACAGGCATTAGTTCTATTAAATTAATTAATTAATTAATAATTTAAAAAAATAAATTAAATTAATAATTAAAAAAAAAATTAATTAATAATTTTTTAAAAAAAATTAATTAATTAATAATTTAAAAAAATAAATTAATTAATAATTTAAAAAAATAAATTAATTAATAATTTTAAAAAAAATTAATTAATAATTTAAAAAAAAATAAATTAATAATTTAAAAAAAAAAATAAATTAATAATTTTAAAAAAAATAAATTAATAATTTAAAAAAAAATAAATTAATAATTTAAAAAAAAAATAAATTAATAATTTAAAAAAAAATAAATTAATAATTTAAAAAAAATAAATTAATAATTTAAAAAAAAATTATTAATAAATTAACTGTAAATTATAATTTTTGTTATGTTTTTAAATAGTTTTATATTTATTTGTTGATAAAAACCAAACCAAATTATTATCTGTCTGTTTATAAGTTAAAATATAATATAAATTATTAAATTACAGTAAAAAATGTTTATAATATCATAAATAAATGGAAAAATATTTTAGTATTTTTTTCAAAAAAAAAAAAATAAAGTAAAATACTATATAAATACCAATCATTCTCTGTCTATCCGTCGGCCAAATGCTATCAATAATCTGAAACTTATGGATCAGAAAGTGATTATCCGCTAGACTTTGACGCCAATCGTCTAATTGTTTTTCACGGGTTTGATACCATTGTTTGTCGGGACTATTAGTAGTGTTTGAGACCAGTTTTTTGTTCAGATCGGGTAATATAATCACATTGGCGTGAAATATACCGCCACTACTACTACTACTACTACTACTACCACTAGCGGTTAGTAAGCGATTACAAGTGGCCATCAATTGCCACTTATCGGGCATATATTGTAGGGTAAAGTTTGAAAATATTAGATCCACTTTAGACTCCAATTGTCTAATCCGGGGACTCATCTCTGGCCACTTGACACTCATATCTTGCAATAGATATTCAATGGTTTCATCTGAATTATGCTGACGGGCATAGCTTATCATATCGGGTACGACATCGATACCGACCAACAGTTTATGAGGGATTTGTTTGCCTAACAAATGTTTGGTTATACGGCCGTCAGCGCAGCCCAAGTCAACAATCAAATCATATGATCTGTTAATTAAAAATAATATTATTTATTTAATAAAAAATATGTATGTATTTCTCTATGTATATACACACATATACACACATATACACACATATACACACACATATACACACACATATACACACACATATACACACACATATACACACACATATACACTCACATATACACACACATATATACACACATATACACACATATATACACACATATACACATACATACACATACATAAATAATTAATTAATTATATTTAAAAAATATTAAAAATAATTACTTTTTATTTGTAGTAATATCTTTAATCTCGGTGATAGACTCGATTGCATTTAAATTAGCACCCCCCTGAATTTTTGCACTATATATTTCTGGACTTAAACTAAACATTATTAATTAATAATTAATTAATTAATTAATTTTTGGATAACAATAAAAATACTAATACTTATAAGTTTATTTCAAAATATATATACTTAAGAAACTTAAATTTTAAAAATGACTAAGTTATTATTATTATTATTTTAAAAAAGTATGACAAGGTAATTTTTTTTTAATTTTATTTTAGTAAAAAGTATGACAACTTTAATACTGCATATGCTGTATATATAACTATATAAAAATATATATTATTTTATAAATTTATTTTAAGTTTTATTTTATTATAAATAAGTTATTAAAATTATATATTTTTAATTTTATTTAAAAATTCTCTCTCTCTCTAAATCTTCTATTGATTTACTGTTATTTTAGTTTTATTTTTTTAAGAAAATCAACTAATTTATATAAAAAAAATAAATAATTTTAATTACAAAAATAATAATAAAATCATCAATTAAAATCATAAATTATTCATAACTAAATTACAGTATTCATATACATTGGAATTTTTATATATATATATATTATAATAAATTTTTTCAAAATTAATTAAAATTAATAAGTTTATAATAAAAAAAAAATTAGAAAAATCGACAAAACAATGTCCGCCATCTAATTTTATAACAATTAGGTATACTATACAACCAACTTGTATTTGTAGCCATGTCTAAGTCCAAACAGTCCAAATTATCAAGCGTTGATTATAAGGTCAATACCTTAGCAGTTATCGATTGAGTAGTCAACCCCCTCCCCCCCCCCAAGTAGTCGACCATAGATTTCTACCGTATCCTTCAATCCTTATTCTAATAACATATAAGTTAATATTATAGATAATTAGAGTAAATTAATTAATTAGTTATAACTATTATAATAGTGATAACAAGTTTTTATTATTAAAAAAATTATTAATAAAAAAATGTGTAATTTACAATTAAATAAAACAACAATTTGTATAATAGATTATTTTTTTTAAAGTTAATTAATTAACTATTATTTTTATAATAGAAAATTAATAGAAATCATAATAATATTGAAAAAAATATTTATTTGTATTAATTACTGAACAAAAAAAACATTTTACTATTTTATCAAAACATTTTTTAAAAATCATTAAATAGGAAAGGAAATAAATATTTAATTACAAATAATGTTTTTGTTTTGTAAGTAACATATAACTAGTATTAATTTTTTTTTTTATTATAATATAAACCTAAAAACAATATTGAAATAGTATTGAAAATTCACTAAACATATAAAGTTATGTTTTATTTAACATTTTATTTTCTGTGTTTATGTGTTTTTAAAACAGCATCTAAAATAATCAAGATAATTAAAAATATAAGTATAAATTTAATTTTTTTCAAATTTATTTTTTATATAAAACTATAATCTTCTAAATCAGACAATAATATAATGTGATTTCAATAATAATAATAAATAATAATAATAATAATAATAATAATAATAATAATAATAATAATAATAATAATAAAAATAAATAATAATAATAATAATAATAATAATAAATAAAATAAATAAAATAAATAAATAAATAAATAATTATAGCAATTAATATGTTAACTTTGATTTTGTTTGTGTTTAATTTAGTGGCAATTTCTAAACCACTATATATTACTGATTTCAATAACAATATTACTGATTATCAAAATCTTAATAATAATTCATATTATAATAAGTCATGTATTAATAATAATAATAATAATAACACTGTTAAGGATAATAGGAGAAACCCTATTGATTCAAATGATAAAACATTTATAATAATTATATCACTAATGACAGTATCCATGATATGTCTGGCCATTGGTTTGGCCATCAATTACAGGCAACACATCCGTAATAATAGACGTGTTATCCATTGGATTAGTATTGGACGCGAATTAATGAATCCATCGTAAAATACAAATATAATTATATAATAAATTTATTACATATACTGTATTGATATATTAATTATATTAATATCCAAAACACATGTTATTATATAATAAAATAAATTTTAAAAATATTTGTCATAACCTGTTATATATATATATATGTATGTATGTATTTAATAATTAACTAAAATAATATTATATATTTATAAATATTAATAATTTATATTTCTTAATTAATTGCTTTAATAGAAAATACATTAATAATAAAAAGAAAACAAATAAATGATAATAAAAAGTAAATAATAAATAGTATTTAATAATTATGTAAAATGTATTATTGTACAGAACATTTTTTTTTAAAAAACATTAATTAAATAAAAAAAATCTTAAATTAAAAATTTTTAATATTTCTATAATCTATAACGGTTATCTAGTATTAATTAAAATATATAAAATACAATTTAATTAATTAATTAATTATTAAATAGTTAACTATTAATCTTTACTAATAATATTAGTAATCCATACATTAAAATATATAAAATACTAATAAATATAACAATTTGATTAATTGATTAATAATTTAGTTAATTAATTATTAATTTTTATTAATAGTATTAGTTATCCATTCTGTAAAATATGAAACCCTAGGAAATACACCAAAAACCCCATCAATAATTTCATGACACTTGTGATTACTAACAGTGCGGCCATGATTTATGCCAATCAATACGGCCCTACCGTTTACATACTGATACAATGGAGCACCAGAATCACCCTAATTAGGTATAGATAGATAAATCATTAAATACATACACATACACATACACATACACATACACATACACATACACATACACATACACATACACATACACATACACATACACATACACATACACATACACATACACATACACATACACATACACATACACATACACATACACATACACATACACATACACATACACATACACATACACATACACATACACATACACATACACATACACATACACATACACATACACATACACATACACATACACATACACATACACATACACATACACATACACATACACATACACATACACATACACATACACATACACATACACATACACATACACATACACATACACATACACATACACATACACATACACATACACATACACATACACATACACATACACATACACATACACATACACATACACATACACATACACATACACATACACATACACATACACATACACATACACATACACATACACATACACATACACATACACATACACATACACATACACATACACATACACATACACATACACATACACATACACATACACATACACATACACATACACATACACATACACATACACATACACATACACATACACATACACATACACATACACATACACATACACATACACATACACATACACATACACATACACATACACATACACATACACATACACATACACATACACATACACATACACATACACATACACATACACATACACATACACATACACATACACATACACATACACATACACATACACATACACATACACATACACATACACATACACATACACATACACATACACATACACATACACATACACATACACATACACATACACATACACATACACATACACATACACATACCGGACATGAAAAGGTGCCGTTATATTGAGGATATCGTTGGCCGAGTATAGCTATACGCCAATAGTCTGTCGCATTACGTACGGCTGCCTTAATCCTAATATAACCCATACGTAGTCTATTACTATACTCGGTATCGGTTACTCCACCGTAACCGGCCATCAATGCCAACTCATCCCTATCGTTGTGTTGGTTAGCCATTGGCAAACAAATACCGTTTAGTCCACGATATGGATGTAGTAGTGGTTGTCCAGTGTTTGTATCGATAAGCGGTAAGTCAGCTGTTAGTTTAACCAGTGCCAAATCGGTAGCCGGGTGCTGATTAGTTTCATAAAAACGTTGGATAACTGTTTTTTCAACATCATAACCATCATTGTTATAACCATTATCATTAATAAATAATTTGCCCGGGTAGATTTTTATATCACTCACTGGAATTTGGCTTCAAGTTATTATTTTTTTTTGTGTATAAATAAATTAAAAACTAATATAGATAATTTAATACATATAATATAAATATATATATATATATATATATATATATATATATATATAACAGTGAACATTAATTGACCCATCTCATAATAACTAATCTATTATTACATTAATAATTAATTTTAAAAAAATAACTACTGTATTGTATAATCAGCATTATATTAATATATTATTTTATTTAATATTAAAATAAATTAATATATTATATATATATATATTTAAATACTTAAATAGTTTGATAGTTAAATTATATATATATAAATTTATATATATATATATATWTATATAAATATATTGTGTATATATAAAATGTAAATTAGATTTAAATATTTACAAAACTACATGAGCGGCTGTCAGTATCCAACGTTTATTTATTATGACACCCGATCCAAAAACTTGACTTTTTGTTTTAATTTGTTCAATAATATTTGTTACCGTGTGTTTACATACCGTAAAAACGTGTTTTTATTCCCATATAGAATTGTTTTATGACTTTTTTTATTATTCCCATAAGGCGTTGATCACATATTACGTTCGCACTTGAGGGTAGAGGGGGGGGGGGGGGGGGGGTTAGCCAAAGCGAACTTTTGCTAACGAGGGGGAGGGGAGTGGTATAGACTTTAAGAGCGTACTCATTTAGATAATATCTTATTTGTTGTGATGGGGGGGGAAGCAGTTAGGGATAAGCGAACGTAATTTTTTTTTAAATGACTACATTCGCACAATTGCGAACATAGGGGAGGGAGGGGGTCTAGATTTCTTAAAAAGTGCAAACGTAATATGTGAACCACGCCTAAGGAAAATTTTCATATGGTAAAAAAAACTGGTATTTTTACATTTACATTTATTGTAATAGTAATAATAATTAAGCATAAAAATTATTATACAAAGTAAAAGAAAACTATTATTTTTTTACATATGGGATTAAAAATTCGCATTATTTCACAGGACTTTCCATATGGAAATTAAAACACATTTTAACGGTAAAAAAATTTATTAATTATTTGTTATTATAGTATTTTATTTACTCCTTTTGTGTAATATATACGGCAAACGGCACTTCTCCCGGTCCGGCAATGCGTCCATTATTCAGTTCATGCGCTGGTATTAGACTTTGATTGGATTTGGATAACCATTGAAAACATTTGCCGTTTCCAAGCAATGATTGTCTACCGATACCACACTGAGGGACAGTTATGTTCGGGTAGTCATACATTTCAATGATCGACCAGACAATTGTGTTGAAACACAACAACAAATTAATTGTAATTAATTTACTTAACATTTATTAATAGTTTTTTTTGGTATAATATATATCTAATAATTAATATGATATAAAATAATTATAATTAATATACAATAATTATGATTACTAACTGAACTATGATATTATTTTTTAATTTAGTATATTTAAGTAATAATAAAAAAAATATTATTATTTTTATCATTATTTTTGGTGTTATTTTCAACTTATGTTACGGTTTCATATTTAATGTAAAATATATTTATTATAAATTATAATAAATATATTTTACATTAAATATGAAACCGTAACATTATAATTTATAATTTCTAATAAAACAATTGTAATAATATATAATATAATATTTAACAATTTTTTTTGATAGCTATTATAATAATTAATATATTTAGATTTTATGAAATTTAG